AATCCCTAATATTTGTAATTTGTTGAGCAGGATCATGTGATCCACACGATCGAAAGCTTTTTCAAAATCAGTGTAGATCACATCAACCTGCCCACCTTGATCCATATTTTCAAGGACAAAAGAAGAAAAACTTGCCAGGTTCGTAGTGGTGGATCGCCTTTGTAAAAAACCATGTTGCTGCTCAGGGAAGGCACGTGAAAGCGTGGAGTAAATTACGTTATATACTACTCGTTCAAGGATTTTAGCCGCGGTGTTCAAAATAGAAATGCCTCTATAATTATTTATTTCTGTACGTGATCCCTTCTTGTGTACAGGGATTATGTGTGCACACTTCCATTGATGCGGAAATATCCCTTCACGTAGAGAGCGATTAAATATAATAGTCAAGGGGAGAGCAAGTGATTTAGCGCATCGTGACCAAAAAAAAGAAGGTAACCCATCACTACCGGCACCTTTGTTCGTGTCCAAAGTTTTCAACATTTTTTCAATTATTGCAGCGTTTGTCTGTACATTAGAAACGGTGTCAGTACACAACGATTCCGTATGTGGATATATGTAGTTATTACTAGGAATACCAAATACACTCTTGAAGAATGAGTTGAAAGCATTGCATATGTCCATACCATCGGTGTACTCTACATCTTTCAAAGACATTTTCTTAGGGTAACCTGACCCACCCCGAATGGCTTTGACGAAAGTCCAGAATGTTTTAGGATGTGTTTTGATGCTATTTTCACAACTTGACGTAAATTTATTAAAGCATTCTCTCTGAACACGGTGTTCTCTTGCTCGGAGTAACGAAAACTCATCGTAATCTAATCTATTCCTGAATTTTTTCCAACGTGTGTGAGCATTGTTTTTCTCCTTAATTATTTTTATTAAAGCAGGTGTGTACCATTTAGGATATGATCGCTTCCCTGTGTTATAACTAAAAGGCACATGTAAACGAACACAACTATCCAGTATGTTATAAAAGGTATTTGTAGCTTCGTCTACAGTGCCTGTACATAAAAGAGACCTCCAGTCCTGTTCTAAAAGATATGTATTAATTTTTTCATAATCAGCCCTCCTGAAATTTCGCCTCGGCGCAGCTGTTTCCCGTAGAGGAGTAATGTTTAAATCCAAAACTATGAAGCAAAAAGAAGGATGTGCGTGGTCCTCCCTGAGTAGCGGCGCAGCCGCAGGGATGATATTCAGAGGTAGATTAGAGAATGCAAGATCTAATGTGTTACCAGCATGATTTTTTAAAGTATTAAATTGTCTTAACCCGTGAAATGTTAGTGTTTCCATCAGCTGGATACTCGCTTCTTGTACCTCAGTAGGCCCTTTTTTCAAAGCTGTATATCCGTTTGGGTTCCAAGAAATGAACGGCAAGTTGAAATCTCCTAATATTACAAAATTATCATTTGGAGAAAGCTCGATAATACTATTAATTTTTTGTTTAATAAAAACGAGATCCGATGGCATTTGATGAGGGTCAGGGGCAATATATGCCACACAAATATGTAAGTTGGAATTTGAAGCGCACGCGCTTGAAGGAATAGTGATCCACAATAGCTCAGTAAGACCGCATTCGCCGAGGTCACGATACATGGCACCGAGTGTACGTCGTGTCAGTATTAATACTCCACCACCAGTACTTTTACCACTATTACGCAAATCTCTGTCAGCCCTGAACACGTCATACCTATCGTCGCACAATTCACCATCAAAAATTCCACTGTGTAGCCATGATTCTGTCATAATTATAATGTCGTAATCGTTCGTCAAAATATTTAGTCGTAATTCAAGACATTTAGTCATATATATATATATATATATATATATATATATATATATATTATAGATTAAACATCAAATGTTTATTTTTTAAGTAAAATATAGCAAAGTTACACACCAGCCTATGGCCTATGCTGACCACATGCCTCTTCTTATTTCAGAGGGTGTTATAGAGAAATTAGTCCGACACTGCTCCAGTGCGTGATGGTGTCAACGACTTTACATTTATTATATTATTTTTATTACTCAGACATGCAGTTTTCCCCACGTTGTTTGCTTCATCGCCGAGCACGTGCAATGGTGGCGGCAGGGATCGAACCGAGTTGTTTGCATACTGTGATATTTACCGGGAGCGCTTTGGCACTTTATTTTATAGTATTGTGTGAGTTATTTTGAAGCAAAACATTTATTCATATTAGGTTTATATAAAGTATAAGTAATGCTGTGAGACGCGATACCATATAAACATTATCTATGAAATAGTAATTCCATATTGTTAAACAGTTCGAGTTTTGCTTCGTTTAATACTCAAAGAGTTTAGCAGCGACGCCACTTGTTTGTCACAGATAACTATGTTCTATGTTGACATAGCGCTTTTATTTACACCAATCGAAGCTCATTCGGATAAGCATGCACACTTTCGGAAACGAGAGTAGGTGCCCAGCGATGGGACGTTATAAACTGTAACTTTATTTTATACGATTATTTACTGTAGGCCATAAAATCGTCCTGGACTTTCCACTATCAATGATGGATTATCGTAAATCGATACCAGACGGAACCAAATTAAAAGCCTTATGACTTCAAAAATCATAACCTTCAGTCTATGAAGTTACTAACTGCTCTTGTAAGTACTTTACTGGTCTAAAAGTAGTGATTTTCGTGATTTCTATTATTCAAAGGCGTATTGTTGAACTTTTTTCCAAAGGTTACACTCACATTAGGAATTTCTCCAGTGGCGTACAGGCGTTTTACGTAAATAAACTGCACAAGGGCAGACCTCAATACACGTAACAATTATTTGTAGACTGTACAAGTACCTAGGTATTAAGTGCGGGATTCGAACCCGCAGCTTGTTGCGAGTCAAACAAACGCTTAGCCCCTTCGCCACCGAGGTTTAAAATTTCAAAATACACTGTAAGTTGATTTAGTACTATTTTAATAAATATCATCGACCATTTAATAATTGAAAACAATTATTATGGCCGAATCGTAAAATGATGACATAACTTTCAACTTGCAATGAACAAAACTTAGCTATTTGGCAAGTCGACGCTTTCGAAACTTTTACAAAGTACTTAGTGAGGTCACGTAGAGGACTACAGAATGGAACTAAATTGGATAGCTAATTTGATTTTATGTTGATTGAATTGTCAACATTTTTTTTTGATATTTAATTATCGAATTGTGCAAATTATCTTAATGCAATATATCCCTACTCTTTTTGAATATTGTTGATTTTTTTTAAAACAATTCTCAAATATGTAGATGGACATACCTACGAAATGTAGACGCACGTTAGGAAGAAAAGGGCCAGACGCCTGATTCTGAAGTCGTCAATACGATTACCAAGCATGGCGATTCCTACATATCGAGGCTCACTTTCCGTAGCTGTTAGTGGTTCATTATGGTTATTTTTTTATAATTCATTTAGTAAGTACTAAAATCGCGTCTACTTAACACAGATGTAATAGAAACCACAGAGTGATAACTATAACGCTGATTTTCAGTCCACGCCAGAGACACGGGTTCAATAAATTAAACTTTTTATTTATTTCTTTATTTATAAGATACACCAACAGCAAACACATGAAACATTAACAACAACACGATAACAGAAGTATATGGTTAAATATGTTTGCTAATTACAGGTAAACACAACATTTACCGTAATGTGTAGCTCATTATATTATAATGGTACTTAATACAAAATAACTTACATTAAGAAAAAACTAACTAAGGAATGAGTGTGTGCTGAGACACAAGAAATTGGTCAATTTTTTTTGAAGCATCGGGCAGAGTCTTTGAAAATATCAATGTCCGGTACCTTGGTCATAATTTCATTGTATGTGTTACATATTCTGGCTAGGAGATAATGCAAGCCTCTAGGTATGCCAAATAGTTTGCGAATTGGATATCAAACATAATCTATAAGTGTATGTTTTCATTTTTATGTTGTAGCATAAATAAAAACATACACTTATAAAAAAAAAACTTTAAACATTAGAAAATAAGGCACGTAAATAAATTATTTCAAAAGATAATATAGCAAATGTAGGAAGAAAAGTTAATTAAATAAAAACGTATGGGTACACATATATACATCTATACACCACGAGATTTATATTCATTTTATCAGATATACATCTTGTGGTGTGGTAATATTATTGATTGTATAAGTTGTCAAACACAATTTAACGAAAAATTCTGAAATCTAATGTCAAATAATAGTGATAATTAGCAAGGTTATCATAATGTGAATGTTATAAAAAATAGAAATAGCACTAACAACCAAAGGTAAATTTAAAATAATTATATATCTGCAAATAACAGACAGCAACTTTCGACTTTTACCAATCGAAGCCTCCGATGCTTTTCCCGTCGCTACCCGCAGGGAGCTGAATCGAGACTTACTAAAAGCATATTGTCATCTTCAATTTGGCTCTATGTCACACAGCACTCTGCGATCCTTGTGTCTTAGTCAGCGGATAACACAATTTGCCCTTTCGCTACACTATAAAATATTGCGACAATTCAGCATAACGTGTTGTGAAAGGACAAAGCCGTATCGAATGCATAATCAATAGCCATGTTTGTTTTCCGTGAATCGTGTTTATATGAATCCCGTTATATTCATATTTATATAATAACATAATTCACATATTATATCGTTCATATATCGGGTACGACTAGGTTAAGAAGAATGAATTCTTTTATGTTTATTTATATATAGTTTGTTTATTCTATAATATGACAATGTAGTTAATTATACACAAGATTTTAAAATCTATTATGAATTTGTATGGTAGAATATTCGTTTGAAGGTAGTAGTTTTTTTCTGTTAGCCTCAGCCAGAACAAAGCGTCTAGCCAGAAATAAAATTAAATTTATGTTATTGTAATTTATCAGAGGTGAAAAATAAAATAAAATATTTGTAAACATTTATTTATTATTTAAATACTTACATAGTATTGCATTTTTCCGTTATTTTAAAGGGCCACCTACGCGTAAATTCCAATGTCGTAATCAACTCTTCTCCCCTTTTCACTTTTCAGGCGAATGTTAACAAAAGTGTATCCTACACCGCCGGCAGTCACGCGGGCGATAGCGTCCGAATGCATGTTGTCGTAAACCAAGATACTCTACAAAATAAAACAAAAATCTTTTAATAATCTTATTAAATGTTACTCCATTAATTCCTACATATGTGAACATGCTACAGTCTCTTGTGCAAAGTCATATTGACTGTGGGTATTTCGAAGTGCTGAAGTGTGTGTACAGTAAGACTGCGATAGCTATCCGTGTACAGAACCAGATTATTTATTAATGTATTAATTATTTAAATATACATGATTTAAATATACGTATAAATTTAAATATACCAAGTTTAAATATTAAACAAAAACTGTATAAAAAGGGTAATTATAATATAAATGAATACATGGTTGATAATGGTTTGATGGAACCTTGGCGCAGTGGCTTAGCAATCATTTGTTGCGCTGAGGGCAGCGGGTTCGAATCCCGCACGGAACAAGTATTTGTATGGCCTACAAATAATTGTTCCGGGCCTGGATGTTTGTCCTTGTGCAATTTATGTTTGTAAACTGCCTCCACGACACAGGAGAAAATCCTGGTGTGGGGGTAACGTTTTTTAAAACTAAAAAATAATAAATAAAAAATAATAATAACCCCTGGGAATGAGGTGGTTGCTTCCAAGCTGTTTTTAAAATAAATTTTGTAAATACATTTATATTGTAAATTAAAAAAAAGCCCCGCTGGGTTTCTTGCTGCTACTTTCCAGGACTGAGGTTTTTTTCGAACCAGTGGTAAAGTGCAAAAAATGACTCAATACGAAATACTTGTAATCAATATTGAATAAAAATTATTATATTATATTCTATTACGAAACCTATCTTACTTCAGATATGTGTAAGACATAGTGACGTTATATCCCCAAAACCCTTAACCACTCTTTGGGAATACGTTTTCAAGCAACTGGACTAGATTGGATACCGTATATGTAATGGTGAGTACATCACTCATCTTCGATTTGCCCACAAAGTCATTATGGCAGAATTACTGGAAGACCTTAGCACTAATCTCAATTACGTAAAGAGTGTCTTTTAACGTATAGATCTTTAGAAGAATATGGACAAGTAAAAGATCATGTGTCATGCCATGTCACCTAAGCCGGTAGTAGTTGAAAACACTGCGCTGGAAGTTGTTGACGAGTATGTTTGCTTTAAACTAATTATCTGACTAGATAACTCCAACCTTGAACGAGAGGTCAACTAATGGATACAGCTCTGATGTGCAGCGATTGTGAGAATAAAACACATCTTTACATCACGTATTCCTCAAAATTTTGACTTAATAAGTCATGCAGTCGATGGATGCAGCTGGCTCAGTATCGTATTTCATAGCATTCTTCGGGGAGGTCTACGTTCAGCGGTGGACTTGTAAAGCACACAAGACTTTACAATATGGTAGAGCCACGCTGCATTTAGTAGTAGTAGCAGCACGAGGGAGTTGGCTTTACTGGGGACGGACCACGCTCTCACACAATACCAGCGTAAAATAGCAGCTTAATGCTGCTGTGTTTTGTATGGTGAGTGTAGAGAACCGGAGACCTTTTTTACTGGAAATGAGGCATTTCATTTTAGTCCTCAGGGGTGACAACGCATCTGCATTTTGATTCTTAATAGAAGATAAATGTAGATGTCTATGGGCCACAGCATCCACTTACGATCAGGTGGACTGTGTGCTCGTTTGTCACCCTTAGTCTATAAAAAATGCACGATAATGATGAAGCTGTGAATATAATCTGTACCCGCGATAATAGTTCGCGACTTAAAAGTCTTAAAAAAATTGATTTTGAATATATTTTAGGTTATTATTTATGTTTATGTTCAATACCGTTTAGTGGCGGTGGCAGTAATCCACTACTGTGTCGTGAAAGTCGTCAGATGGAAAATGAAACAGGGTATGGGTAGCAGTAGTTTCCTGATAACAAACTAAATTAGCTAAAATAATAAAAATAAACTGCAGTTGCCAACCCGCCTGCCAAGTGTGGCAACTATTGCAATATTCCATCTATGAGGCAATCTATGCGGTGGCCTATGTTCAGCAGTGGACTTTTATAGGCTGCAAGGGTAATGGTAGTGTTAAATACAATACTTGAATGTTTTTATTTATAAACAAGTACTACAAAAATATTTTTTGAGCATATAAATTGTGATCTTTCCGACTAGATCTGCCAAAACAATGTATAATCTATACCCAATGTCCATTTTTATAAATATCTTCTTCTTCTACATCAGCCCTTAAAAGTCCATGGCTAGATATGGGTCTCTTTCGTAAATGGAAAGATTTGCTTTTTGTTCACGTTTATATCAAAATGTGTCAATGTAACAGTTCAATATATAATAAATATGTATATAAAAGTTACTAGACGACGATACCTATATTTTGAAACGCGATATCATATTGCTTCTGAATTAATAGATGTTGGCGAGTATTTCTGAAATATATTGTGTTATAGCTGAGCACATAGGTATGTTAATTCGTTTCATACTTTTTTTACCTACTAACTGAGGTTACCTACTGATACAGTACGTGATTATACACCTTTTGAGTAAATTTGAGTAAATGTCTGTAATGTGATTTAAAATTTTGTGTAAATAAGTTACGTAATTTTTATGATAAATTAGCTTGATCATTAACTACATATTTTAATCTTTTTCGTTAACTTGGTCCGCTTACTTTTTTTAAATTATGTTATGCGATAAAGTTTCAAGCGAGGTCCTGCCCATTAACTTTTTGCGAAGCTACCTGGCAACTAATTTTATCCAATGGTTTCCGTAAAAATGTTGGCTCTAACTGAGATTCACAAAACTAGTCACTCGTCGCTTCTTCTAACGGATATTCTGACCAGTCATGAGTAAGTGTCATAACTGTCAAAACGTCACTCTTCCTCTTACAGCTCGTGGACAATCCATTGATAGACATGGAGCCCTTCGTATCATAAGGCGGACTTAGAGTAAAAAAATGCCAATCTAATTTGACCATTACAGGTACTGTGCTGTAGACATAATTGTCAGTGTTTCTCGTCACCAGTCTGGAGATTTAGACATTGGTTATAAAATGAAATTATTTATCGCCATCACATCTATAGATGGCATTGAAATTTGCCTGATCAATAATAAAATGTTGTATACTTAAGCAATGACACTGGTTGAAAAAGAAACCATTATACAATTATAAATACCTATAGCTTAAAAAAATAAAAAACCCCGAAACCCACCTTTCAAACTAAAAAAAAAACTTAATCGAAATCGGTTCATCCGCTCAGGAGCTATGATGCCACAGACAGACAGTCAGACACACAGATACACAGGTACACAGATACACACCACAGAATTATAACGCCTCTCTGTTTTTGTCGGAGGTTGAAAAACATATTATACAAAAATATTTGATAGTTTAATATTTATCAGTGATACAAATTCGGTCTTATAACAAAGATGATTCTTTAAACTCCTAACTGTCAATAAAGAGTTTGAGGTTCAAAATTGATAAAATACGTTTCTATACAATTATTAAAACGAGTTTTATGAAAAAATATCCATCGACATGTTTTATGTTATGCTTTTATCTTAATTTTCTATCGTTACATAAAATATATTTACCTTTATTTTCTTTTGCTGTGGATTAGAGTAAAATATGTTCTCCACTCTTCTCTTATATGGTATTGCATTAAAGCGAGCTGCGGTGTGGTAAACCATATCTTTGTTGCTGGAATCGCCAATAATCAAATGTTCGCAATTACAAACAAGTAAACTGGCCACTTCCAGGAGAAGTAACGCTTGAATCTTCATGCTCTCAATTTGAAAATTTAACCCTGTTTAAATTTAGAACACGTTTCAGAAAAGGGGCTTGTTTATTTTAACAATTTCGCAGACGTGATACTGGGAAGCGAAGACAACAACTGAATCCAACTGAATTGAATTTAATACACCTCTTGCAATACCTTGTTCAACTGAGGAACGTTGAGAAGTGTTAAGAGAAACGCTTTCGTTTGACAACTGAAATAGGATCGGTGAGTACAGTAATGTCAATAGGAATTCCTTTTGCATTAAATGTTTACAAATTTTTCAATCAACTGTTGTTATTAGTATAGTACGATATAGTCCTGTTTACTTTTCAAGTGATGTAAATAAAAACACAAAATCGCTCACATATTTTTCGTATCCTTTATTGCCGATGTTAAAGAAATTAAGTATATATAATATTTTTTATCCTTTAAAAAGTGTATTTTATATATTGTCATAAAATAATGATTAAGTATTGCGTAAAAATCTGAAATATGTATATTAAAAACAATTGACTGTAAACTATAAGGGTGTTATCACACCAATCGATCGATCGTCGATCGATGTCAGCGAATGGTGGAATGAATTAGTCGACGTCGATCGAGCTGCTTGATTATTCTAGAACCCGCCGACCACTTTTGAAAGATACACATCGATTAATTATAGCCCATATCCCATCGATTTATTGTCGATCGATGATTGAACAACGTTTTATAGACCCATCGATCGGCTATAGCTACCACACCAATCGATCGATGTCGATCAATGGCGTCGATCGACGATCGATCGTTGTGGTAAAGCGACATCTGGAATATTCATCTATCTTCTTTCCTTACCTATGCAATATTGTCATAATATATAATGATAATATTATACATATAATATATATATTATAATAATATATACATATATTATTATAATATATATATTATAATAATATATGCATATATTATAATAATAATATACATATTTGGTATCAGATAATTATTTGTGTTTTTTTTATTGGACTTGTTTATTTGTTCCTAATTTGTTCCTATAGGTATAGGACCTTTCTACCGATTACAATGAAACTTTGGTGAGTTGAGTGCGCGGCTGCAATGATTACTAGCAAAAAAAATGGTATTTGCTTTTTTTTAGATTTATGCATTTCTATACCATTCTTCAATTTTTTGAGAAATATTACGCCTGCTGAGCATGGCTAGTATAAAATAATTAAAAAATATTGGCCTTGTGATGATAGATTATGTGTGAAAATTTTCAACAGATTCTTATTACGTTAACTGTTAATATAATTGGTTAATTCAGTAACAAAACACACGCTTGTAACCAAAACATGATTCAACATTTAAATCGAATTAAATGGCATAAATCACACCTTTGTCGAATTAGTTTTTCGTTTTACTATAGGGAAGGGTTGCACGCATTGAAGCAGACAATAGGAGACCGTCGGAAATCGTGGCCGACGGTATTTTCTATTTTATGCGAGGGTCGGTATGGTAGGGTACGTGTATTAGTCTGAATCCATTCCCTGTCTTCCGGTAGAATGTTGGAAACAATCTAGTCCCCTACTTTATGAAGGGGCTTGTCAAGGCTTAAGCAAAGAGGTAAAAGCAAAATTTTATTAAGCAATTTTGGCGAATGCATTGTTTTCTTTACGATGTTTTATTTTAATTTTGTATACGAAGAAAACATTTTATCGGTTCGCTGCAAAAATGTATGAATATAAACAATTATAAATTTACATTTCTTGTATATTGTTCATCGTCATTGACGTCAGTACAGCCTGTCAAAAGTCTTGAACTAAACACAGGCCTCCCATAGATTGTTTCATGTATACATGGATATTGCCAAAGTAGTTATGCTTTTGTTTATTGTTTTTTAAATTAAAATCTTTTTATATCTTCAATAAAGAAGAATAAAGTGCGTGTGTTTACCTCTGAGGATTATTTATTATAGGAGTAAGGCTACCAAACGAGCACAAAATTTACCTGATAGAAAAGTGACTTACTTACGGATGTTCTAGCTCATAGACGCCTAGATCTATTCTCAGTTTAAAATCAAAATGAAGATGCCTTGTCACCCAACAGAACTAAGATGCAATATATAGCATTTGTCAATATTTAACGCGGAGGCTTAATTTTAATTAACGACGTATATATAAAATACAGCAAAGATAAAAATGATTCATTTTCGAATGATTATTATGTTTTTAATACTTTTCCAATTGAAAATAGCCATGTTATGCTATCTAAGGAAGACAAAGGTTAGTTGGCTGAAATCAAACGGAAACATTCCAGTTGAACAGATTTTCGTTTACAATATAATACAAGAATTGTTTAAAAGTTGCTCTCTGAAAGTGTACAGTAAAAACAACCGTATTCCATAACAACTTTGCTCGTGTAAGGGTGGAAACACATTCCGAAACTTCGGTCACTAATACCTTCATTTATTTGTTTCAGTATTGCTAAAGTTAACGGTGGCTCAGTGATCGGACTCCGGGTTGAATCCCCACGTTAGAGTGTAAATGAATGTTAAAATATTTCTCCAAACTTTTGTCTGATATTTTTTTTTCTTTTAGTATTGCGAGGATTTAACCCCGGAAGGGTGCGTTAGTACCCTTAAGCTACCTACAAACAAAAATTCAATTTTAGAACATAAAACAGGCAGTCATTGAATCTTTAGCATGTCAAATAACAGCTACTAAATTGCAAAAGAGAATCCACTATCCCATGTCAACCTGTAACAGACAGAGATAAGAAACAACATATAGGCAGCAGAATCTTCCTGATAATATCTGAAAATAATAAAAAACTGCGGTTTCCAACCCGCCTGCCATGCGTAGCAACTATGGCAAATATCCCCCCGCCCCTCCCATGAAGTCTATGTGCAGTGATCTATTAGAAAGGCCTACGTACAGTGAACTTTTAATAGGCAAAAATAAACGAATAAATGAAATGACATGACAAAGAAGGCATCTAGCTCTTATGGTCTTTCCATTGTTTATATCTTAACTGTTAATGGTAAATAAATTTAACTGCCTCTAACTCTTAATGGGATAACGGTACTGAAGAAGTTCACTGCATCAATGCGTGTTGACTTCACATGTCTTAACAATATAGCCGAACGTCCACCGCAAACTAAACTAACTTAGTTTATCTCAGCTAGCATAGCTGAGCCAGTTTTTTATACATGTGCATCCACCGCAAACTATTTCAGCTAAGCTATGTATGTATAAAAAACTGGCTCAGCTATGCGAGCTAAGATAAACTAAGTTAGTTTCGTTTGCGGTGGACGTTCGGCTTATATTTCATGTTTCCTTACGATGTTTCCCACATTGTCCAGCGTGGGGTAAATCATTACTTAAAATTGCTGTTAACACCAAATCTAGTTGTGCCGCGGATTAAAATAAGTGCTCTGTCCCTTAGTTACCATATTTATTATATGAATGGTTACGGTATGTTTTAAGCTTCTACATATTTCAACTTATTTATCGTTGTAAAAGAAAAAGGGTACGACGCAATAGTGGTCAGATTTCTTCAATATTGGCTTTCCTAATGATTATTTACGGCCTTTAAATTATAGGGCGGCCATTGTCGTTGCTCTTTAAAAACATATTTCTATTCAACTATCGAACGGCGAGCGAATTTATTGCAAACGTAACTTTAGAGCGGGTATTTTCTTCAACCACATTTATGGGAAGCATTTATTTATTATTTATTAAAAAAAAAACGCTACCACCACACTACGATTTTCTCTTGTGTTGTGGAGACAGTTAAAATACATAAATTGCAGAAGGACAAACATCCAGACCCGGAACATTATTTGTAGGCCATACAAATACTTGTTCCGTGTGGGATTCCAACCCGCCGGTCTCAGCGCCGCAACTCAATGCCAAGCCACTGTGCCATAGAGTCGTCCATAAAAAGCATTTACACTGTTATTCTTATCAACTTTACTACTAGAAAGCGATTTTAGCACTTATTCACTTGACAAAAATTTTAAGATGTTTTCACCAAGTCTAAAAAGTATTTCTTAGTAAAACTTGGCATATGAATAAAACCTTTAATTATTTGTTTATCAAATAAAATGTTATTTAGTTTTAAGACCACCAGATAATGATTTAGTGCTAAAACTTTTAAAAGGATGACAGAAATAGATAGCGGACGAGGCGCTGTCAACCGTCTATTGACAGAAAACTCTATCTAAAAACTCAGCCTCAGCCAAGTGTAGCAAAGTATGTTCGAATAAATCTTCCATGTAATGCTGGCCTTTTTTTGGCAAGGCCCATACACAGCAACGGACTTAATAAATAATTTAATGTGTGAAAAACGTCTAAGGATAATTTAGTTAAAAGTTAAAGTTATATATATCCCACTGCTGGGCACTGGCCTCTTCTCATTTCTGAGAGGGGCTTAGGGCAAGGAAATGTCCGCCGCGCTGCCCTAATGCATGTTGGTGAACTTAACATGTCTTCGGAATATTTTTTCTCTTATATCTCAGACATACAGGTTTCCTCACGATGTTTTCCTTCACCGCCGAGCACGTGGTAAATCAGCACTTAAAATTGCAATTAACAATTTCATTGGTGCCGGTGGGGGTTGTACCCGGGTTGCTCGCGTATTCTGAAATTTACAGCAGGCCCGTAGCCTCTGAGCTACCACGGATCAACGATAATTTGCCGAGGAAAATGTCGGAAAATTATTTCGTTAAAATTACTTTTTAATTAATCCCTTGTTGCCTACTAAAACAATTAAGAAGTTGTATATTGTAAAAATCTTTTTAAATGCATTATTTTTTTAATGATAACTAAGGAAATGTTAAAACGAGCTATAATTTTAGTTCTTGTTACGCAATAAAATACATATCAAACGGAAAATGTATTGGAATTTTTACACTGCAGTCGTGTTTGCCAAAAATTGTTTGTTGCCGATAAGCATAGGATAAATATAAATATAGGGGAGCTATGGGTATATGTTTATACGGTATGTTGTTAATTATACACATTA